CAGACGCCTCTTTGCTCCAGTGCTCCCCTGGCTGCCTGGGCCACTCATCTTGGCATACAGTTTTTTACTGAATGATCCTTATTTCTCTCTGTTTCTTCTGGAACATCTAAGAAGTTAGCTGATGTTCACACTATCGTTTACATCCCTTCCTTTTATTTTAAGTAAATCTTACCTGACATGTGCTATTTACCAAATGAATGCCATTGACGTGTTAATTCCCTTAGATAGTGAAATTTTTCCCCCTTTGGGATGGAGCCTCTCTGCAAATACAATTTCTTAAACTCTATGGATTATATTGGTTAAGTAAAATTTCATAAGTCCGTTGAAAAATAACAAACCCGAGAAAAATATCCTGCTGCCTCCATTTTGGAAGGCCAGAGGGTTATTCCTTCCCCTTACCAGGTTATCCTATTTACTTTTGAAGGAGGGGAAACGGATTCTTGTTCCTCTTCTTCTTCCTCCCTTTCATGTCTCCTTCCGTTTCTTCTTTTACTCTCTTTCATTTTCATTTTCCTCTCTTTCTCTCTTACTCAACTTTACCTATTTCTGAAAAGGAATGTAGTTACCGCTGTACTTTCTTTAAAAAAAATCCCCTCATGATCTGTGACCTGGGAGGGATGATGAGTGAGTAGGCGTTTTTAATCCTGGAAAAGCAAGATATGTAGTGGTCTGAAAACCACAGTAGAAATAAAAGAAAGTAGGAAGGAGAAATACCATGCAAGAAGATTAAATCTGTGACGTAGAGGTGTATTTTATAAGCCCTTTATTTACCAAGAAACGCACCAGAAGATGAAAGAGAAAGATAGACACAAACTTAAAAAAGAGATCTATTGGTCAAAAACAATGCTAAAAATGTAAGGCCTGGCTATACAGGGATAATCCATTTTAGGTATTTCATATAAACTTTATCCAAACAACATTTTCTTTATGTCTTTAAAAATAGAATCTCTTTCCTCACTGAATGTGATTTTTTAAAGATATTATTGAATAACCACACTATTTTTTATTTCCAGCTAACCCCTGTCCCCACTATGATGAATATACCTACTGTGAGCAACATGTCAAACATTTTGGATGCAACAACACGGCAAATGAATTATTCTGCAAAGCTACTTGTCTGTGTAATACTGAGATAAGATAACCCTTATGATGGGTGCCTGTACTGGGCTGTGAAGACGAGGAGATGCCTGCTGGAGCGTGTCTTTTACCAGTTCACTTCAGTAGCTTTTGCTGAATGTCATTTGGTTTTAATTAAACTCAAGATCCTAACTCCTGTCCTAATGTATTCTAAAATAACAGAGTTTTCAACTTCCTTAGTGCCACAGTAAAAGGTCAATTTCAACATCTGCCTCAAATTTAAGTCCTTAGGTTCACATCATTCAAACAATGGCCTAACTGGGTTCCTCAACAGCATTCTGTACTAACGTGGGGCTGTACCTGGTTGAATCCCCACCTATTTTCCTCATGGTTCCAACCACCTGATGTTTGTCTTCCCAGCACAGCTAATATCTAGAAATAATTTCTCACTTTTTACTTTTACATCTACTTTAAATCAATAATTAAATGAATCAGCAAAGCCAACAGAGTACAGTCTCAACTTTCAACGTCAATGTTACTTAACTAAAAGTGGTTGAAATGTCTGGTTGTTTCATTGAACATCTATAGACATGTTTGTGAATCCAGGAAAAATAAAAACACCGTGTGCTCTTAATTTAACAAGCTCTGTATACAGCACTGAAAATATACAAGATACACCTATATACAGAGAGAGAGAGAGAATAGTCTCTCATTTACTTCAAAGAAATTATATATAAGATATGTGAAAGACATAGTATAATATGGGAAATAAATAAGTTCCTGAATACATACCAGTAATACATTATTAGTGCCAAATGAGCATAATTGCTTCTGTCTGGAGATTCAGAGAAGCCTCAGGGAGGAATGAAGATCACTATTTGAGTTGCAAAGCTTGTAATTACTTCAAGACAATGTTAACAGCACAGGTAAAAGCCTAGTAACTTAAAATGCATTGACTCCTCAGAGAACCTTGAAGGGCCTGATATAGGGCAAATGAAGGCTAGGAATGTTTGCTATAATTTTAATATTTTGAGATTAAACTGATACCTGATTCTACTCAGTTTTATATTTCTTTACTCATTTCAATACAACATTCAGGGAAGAAAAAGATTATGTTCTTTCCAAAAGTAAGCCACGCCTCTCAACCCTTTTGTGTCATACAGTGGCACTTGTCCCAGTTGCAAAAATTATGTATTGCTCCAAGAAAAACAGACAATTTGAGAACAATGCCCTCTTGATGTGATCTGTGCATGCCTTTCCATCTAGATCCGTGGGCATCTCTCCCATGTAAGTGCTTCCGAATCATTCTTGATTTCTATTTAAACTGCCTGGGTTAGGGCTATCCAACTGATCTATCTTCTGAGTAATTGTCAGTATAGTCATCAAGCGTATTAATGTCAGAACAATGCTTCATCCCAGGAGCACTGTAAGTGGGACATCATTTAATAGCTGAAATATTTAATAACTGAACTCATTATTTTAAAAAAAACTTATCATAATCGTAATAATTTACTCCCAGAAAGTTAAACGTATGTGCTGCAGTAAATCTTTATTCATTTCTGTATTGTTTAGGTATTATGATTTATCTTAGCTAACCAAGTGAGCGTTAGATTTTGGAGTGATTAATACCAACCCTGATTTCTGAACTTTTTATCCTTGGTAACTAACCAGTCCTGCAGTTTTCTGTAACATATAGGCCGACACTGCTACTGTACTCTCACCCCACACATACTCTCTCTAGACATTAATGGGCCGGTGATGCTTCTCAAAATTTGCATTCCAATTATTTGCCTTTCCACCTTGTCGGAGAGTAAGCATAGTCACATATTTCTTACAGGTGCATGAGGGAAGAGGAAGGATAAGTTTATACATAATGAAAATTCACATAACCTAGCCACAAAATTATGCCTCTGTCTTATTTGACCATTTCAAATCATGGGCTGGCTTATTTCATAACACAATATATTTGCAAATACAAAAAGGCTTTCTGCCAGCAAAAGTCCCTGAGTCCATTGACTACATGAAAAGTACCCCATAGTGAGGAAAGGGTGGGGGAACTCTCTCCTACACATTATTCTTCTGTTATTTCATAGGCTTTCAGAATCACATATATTCTTTGGAAAATAATAAAAAGAACCATTTTATATTTTGGATGACATTGTAGAGAACTTTTATTTATAAGGCAACACCTTTCTAAAAAAAAAATAAAGTCTTTCCATCTCTTTTCAAATTTCATTCAACATAGAATAAGTAAGTAAATATTAACAAGCCATTGTGAACCAGACACAACTGTGGCACCCTGTACTTTCACAGTAGTAAACAAGTTAGTTTTTTTACAAGAGCAGAGCGCAAAAGTTAACAGCATGGGCAGACATGCCGCCCTGCAAGTGTAAATTCAGGGCACAACACATAACTTGCCCTGTGACCTTGAACAAGACTTTGAACAAGATGACTTTTTTTGTCCTCATCTGTAAGTTATAATGAGAAGTAGTTATAGTGTCTACTTAATGGATGTGTTACAAGAACTGAATCAATTAAGATGCAAAATGGGTAGAAAAATATCTGATGTTTAAAAATGTGTCCAGTAAATATTTGATGGCATTACTATTCACCATTTATTAACTATTTCACACCCAGAACTTAAGCTCTATCTTTCAGGTACAAGTAAAATGTACTCCCTTACTTTCCCCTTTGGGAACTTAGCACTAAACACTTGTTATGATAAATGACTAATCTCTTCCCCATCCCAAATATAATTAAAAGTGTGAAATAATGTCTTCATATAAAAAGGGGTTTGCACAAAAACCTATAGTATAAAATCACCTTTGAGTCAATATATTCAACTTGGAAGAAATGTATGATTTAACCACATTATTTAATAATTCAAGGCAATCACAATGGAATATCAAGGATGGCTTTTATAGTATTCACAAGTTTATTCTAAATTCATTTTAAAAATAATTATTCAGTACTGACCACCAAAAATTAAAGATGTGCTTCTCCTAATGCAAATATTTTTGTAGAAAGAGGATAATTTTAGAGATTAGTTTTAAAATGCTAAGGAAGAAAATTTGAGCAAAATCGTGAAGACTTTTATTTGAAGACAGTAATTTCACTGAAAAAAAATTTAAAAAATAAACATCTATAAGAAGTGAAGTGAGTGAAAAGTCAAAATTAATTTTTAAATCTTTTTTCAAATCAAAGGTCGGCACATAGTTGACCTATGTGACCTATGCATATATTACATAAATATATAAAAAATAATCTATAGATTGATAACAATAGGAAGTATTGAATTAGAAAAACAAGTAGAGAAAATCCACTAACTATGTGGCATGGCGAATACACAGGTCATGAAACTCAGGAAAACTAGCTCTTTAATAATGATAAAAATGATTTTCAAATACAGTTAGAATTGTTTTTATCTCGCTAAGAATAATTTATGTACATGACAAATTCTATAAATCAGAGAAGTATGAAGAACCAACCTCTCTCCTACATCACTGATGGGACTAAAAATGTGTATAAAGCCCCCTCCTTAATGATATCATGTGATATTAAAAATACATAAGCTTTTGAATACATTAAATTCTCATGAAAGCATGTATTATAATGAAATATCCTCATGCAGGCTTGGCGCCCATAGCTCAATGAGTAAGGCAGCAGCCACATACACTAGAGGTGGCGGGTTTGAGCCCTGCCTGGGCCTGCTAAACAGCAATGACAATTGCAACCCAAAATAGCCGAGTTTGGGGCCGGTGCCTGTAGTTCCAGCTACTCGGGAGGCTGAAGCAAGAGAATCAGTTAAGCCCAAGAATTTGAGGTTGTTGTGAGCTGTGATACCACAGCACTCTACCCAGGGTGACAAAAAGAAAGAAAGAGAGAGAAAGAAAGAAAAAGAAATATCCACATGCAAAATTATGTTTCTCTAGATAAGATTTTTATGCCAGCATTATTTGCAACAAATATATAACTAAGTGGAGAAATGGTTAAATAAATTAAGAACGATTCATTATAAGGAATACTATGCTTATATTAATTAGCATTAATATAGAATAATAGAAAAATAACAAAAAGTTCATATTCTAATGATGAGTGATTCAGGTTTTAAAAAGTTAAAATTATTGAATATATATATATACACACACACCCCCATGATCTCATCTTCCTTTTCTGTTGCTCTCTCTTTTTTCTCCTTTTACTGTGAGCATTTTCAGATTTTTATATTTCTAACATCTTAATTGGAAACACCTTATGCTACTGTGAGTTACTTGAAATAACTTTTGATTCCATCTTATTAAATTACAAAATTTGACAAATTTCAGATAAAAGTTTTTGTATACAAACTTAAAGTTTTGGGTAAGGAAAGAAATACAAGTGGAAGAAAAATAATCAATGACGAGTCCTTAGTGTTGTGAAGTGTTTTCAATATGTTCGGTGATTTGGAAACACAAACGAGCATATAAATACTTGTGATTTTGAATATTAAAGAAACATGGCAAATAGTATAGTGGGGCTAGTCAAGACTCTGCAAGTGAATTCCCTTGAGAGAAAAACCAATCAACATCCCAAAGACTTTCTAACATGAACAGACAAATGCGGTCATGTTTCATACTATTGCTTTTATACTCCTCCCCCCTTTTCCAATACTCTTCTCGAATCTGAAGAGCAGTTCATTTAAATAAATAAAATGGGGGACATGTTGGGGGGGACAGGGTGAATTCCTCACAGACCTTCCAACTCAGGTTCAGGTTCCCAGCCAGGGGAATGCCTATGTGACTATCCCTGCATGGGGAAATCAGCAGTTCAGGCAGCTGAAACCATCAACTAGTAGCTTATGGTAGAAAAGTTGAGATGTCTGTCTGAAGAGATGAGACTTATTCTCTCCGCTCTCTCTCACACTCACACCCTTATCTGGCCACTTCAGATGTTCCATTACCCTATGTCCTGGCTTACCCTTTACTCAAACTTCACGGGACTATGTCCTCCTCTCTCTCATTCTTAACCTTGAGTGCTGACTACTGACTGCTGTGCATTCTTGCACATATACTCTGCCATGTACCC